ACACCTCTGGAACCACTGCGCAACGAAGCAAAAGTAGTGATAAGGGCAAAGAGGAAGGAGGGACGTTTGATCCTTGAAGCGCTGCTCTCGACCAAGTCATTCAATCGACAGGTGGAAATCGATAAGCGTTACGCAACGATTTTACAACCAATGTGCAACGCGGGATTGATGGACAAACACTCACGACGCACATCACAGCACATGTTATCTCTGGAACAGTTCACTTGATCACTAGAATACCCTGACCAGCGACCAAAACACTTCTCTTTATTAGAATGCCCTGTACAATCTTAGTATAGAGCTTCACTGAACTTGTATTGACAACAACATCAACCCTCTCCGCACACGTATCTTTCCCATATTTAGACCCTGTTGTCTTACCGGACCAATACCATCTGACTGGTCACGGCACGTTGACGTCCACATGCTGCACGCTTCTCTCTACTCCACAGAGCATACCAACACAACCGTCCTTGAGGTTTCGTGACGTGTCGTTCTCTTTTTGGTTCGTTCCTTTCTCTATTGTTCGACGTATGTATTCGTGGACATTATTAGTCTAAGCAAAAAAATCAGTATCGGAAGACCTCTATTGTTATTGATACGCAGATGTTTCTGTTTTACTAGCTATTTCTGTCCACCAATTTTCACCACCAAGTTGGCTGTGAATGCGCTGCACGTTTAATTTGATCCGACCGTCGATCAACTACACCTGTAAGGCTAGGAAACCGCGCCAGTGATTCTGTATCCTGAGTGCTTGTATCTAACGGCATATTTTTGGTTCATGGCGTTTCGTTTGCTTTGCCTTGAAGTTTTAACCTTAACACCGATCAACGGAAAACCTGTCTGTCAGTTTTTCCTCGCCAACCCGCGACAGGATGTCCGTCGACTCGTATCCTCGCAGCTGGAGACGATAAGAGGCTTTTCGGATGACGAACGACGGTGTGGAACGGTGGTAGAGAGGCGGGACAAGCTTGTACAACCGCTGTTACTACCAAATAAAAAGGATTAGGGACACTATTCGATTACGATCAAGAGTGCTCNTCTTGACACATCTGGAGAGTTTAATTTCATCCACCTCACCCAAGAGCAATATTTTAATAAGAGGTGTCAAAAACTTGCACTGTAGTCGTGAGGAATCGACTGGATAAAACGGGCCCAAGGCAATGGGTAGGAAGATGCGGTCCCACTGCTTGACCCACAAAATAACCAGACTTGAATCCATTGGAATTCCCCACCTGGAGTTAGGTAAAAAGAAACTGCATCATCCGGAACCGGAAACGCTGGATGAGCTAAAGGACTGCGTGATAAACACTAACAGGGAGATTCCACCATCCACTTTGGAATCACCGGAGAAGAGATAAATGAAAATGGCAGATTTGTTTGGTGTAAATCATCTTTGAACGATTAATCGGCAGAGGGATGATTGTTTTCACTCCAATATTATATATTCTGTTCACCTTTCCAGTTTTCTTGTGTTCGCTGCCCCTGATTTCATAAATTGAGTGGAGATACATCAGGCGTTCAGGTAGGGTCATCACAAGGCTTAGCGTGAGTTAAAAAACGTGCAAGCAGTGCAGAATTGACGACACAATGCATCAAAATAATAAGCAAATAGTCAACTCTCTCATTCGAGTTTCGCGTAATTCACTGGTAAAGTATGAACTAAACAACCGTAACAAGAGAGTATCGTTCATTAATTCCAAGATAGAGTTTAAAGTGAATAACTGAACAAAACGACACCTGAAAACTTTATGAATTCAGTGGTATTAACTGTATTACTACAGCCAAATTGAAGTAGGTAAAAACGGAATTCGAAAGATCCATCTTTACCGAACCGAATCAAAAAATTCCTACTCAGCTTGACAGAAAAAATTGAATCTTTCTGCACTAAGAGTGACTGCTTCTGACAAATTTACAGAGACACCATCTTTCCCAGAGAGCACTGAATGTTCAGATGAACTATTCGAAAACCGAAACAACTAAAATCATATTTCGATATGTGAATCAAAACTTCGTTCACTGTTCAGCTACGACCAGCCAGTATCTTTAAACTTCTTCTCAACACACCTAGTAGTTAATTTTCGGACAAAGAGGCTGAAAATACACTTTAGAATTGCAATTTTAGTATANGGAGTCAGATGCAAGTTTATCCAGAATCGGTCAATCTGATGTATAACAACCGCGACTGCGAGTTATTTGTCAATTGTAGTCCGGTAAATTACAACTATACTGAGTTGCATAGTTGACAGAACACCTCATAAGGGGCGTCTGGACAGGGACCAATTTCAACGATCACTGGAATCGATCGTCATTGTGCACTGGAATCATTTTAGTACAAAACTTAGCAGCCGCAAGCGTGATTCAATTTATTTCGAACAAGATGAAACCCTGTGGATAAACCAAGCGAATTTTTCTATTATACGCTGTCCATGAAGATCACCAATTTACATTCGACAGCGTGCTTAGTTTGTGCACGATGGGCTTGGGGCTGGTTACTTGACCCCGGATGCGCTCATTAATCTTAGCATGTGGTAGATCCTTCACTTTCACGTTGCACAGACACCTCAATGTTCAGACGACTAACGAATCATCTTCCACACGCATAGCTCCTGGCAATTATTAGGGGTCTGATGGAGTGGGTTCGTAAGAGCCAGATGACTGCCCTAAAAGCAACCATACCCTAGTATTACTGCCGTTGGATATTTTATTTTGTTTATTTTGTACAACACGTTTTAACTTGTTCTCAGTTACCTCCATCCACAACTTTGGAATGCTCCTGATAGTATTGAGCTCTGTTTATCCTATCTATCTATCCATCTATCGCTGACTGGCAAGTCACTGGTCATGCATTTGACAGGGAGCAAGAAGCACCTAAAGCGGATAGAGGGAACGAAAAAGTTGACTAAGTCATAGGCTCGAATTCATACTTTTCGGCTTTCTGGCTGTGAACCATAGAATGCAGATTTATTGTGATCAGAAATATGGTCAGACATGGTTTAATCGGTGCCAGTAGCAGATCTGCTGTCAAATGTCAACCTTTCAAATATGTTTACTTTTCTCGATTTCCAGTTTCTGTTTTGTGTCATCTTTTTCAGTGTCTCCAGGAATAGACCGACCAACCTGTGGTATGTTTCGTAAAGCTTTGAAGCACACCGCTGTAAATGATATATATTTCTAATGTTTCGATATTCGTAAAATTTCTATCGAGGTGTAGAGTTCAAATGCGAATTTTACAAAAGTAAGCGCGTACTGAGATTGAATGAAAGGATTGACGGAAAATTTAGACGCACCTCGAAGCGATGGGCTCGCTGATGTATGTATACGAAACAAGCGAACGATATAAAAGCAGTACAAATGAGGTCACGCTGCATAAAAGCACATCGGTAATATAAGTCACAAGAAGCAAGCAAAAAGTGAGAC